GGTGGGAGTAGGAAAGAGACGAAAGATGATGGGCGATGTACTTTCCACACATACAACGATTGAGGAAATGTTCACTGTGCTGAGAGTTGGCTACGCTTATTGTAGGGCATTGGTGCTATTATGTTGTAAGTGTAATTGTTATTGTATGTGGTGCAGCTGATTTTTAAATGTCTTGTTAACGAGTAATATTGTGCCGTTGATGATGAAAAGACGAGGATGTTGATGATGAGAGACAGGGAAACAAAAGAAAAAGAAAAGAATAGAGACAGATAGAGATGTTATTGAAACCTAAGTTATCTTATCTTATCTAGCTTCCAGAAAGACTACTTTTCTCTAAAAAACAGATTTGCATTATATTATTATTACTATCAATATATGTTGTACCACCAAAAAGAGACAAAACGATCAGACCACATTTAGTGCCCTGCAACTAGAGACAAATCTAACAACGTCATAAACAGACAATTGCACATACTCCACACAGAACAAAAACATGCCACATATTATTATGTTGCTGGTTGCCACATACCCGACTGGGGTCAAAAGCAGCCTGAGTCCCCGTAGCAGGACATCTTCCCGGACGGAGGACGACCCCTTGGGCTGCTGCAGACGACAGAAGAGTGGAGAGTAGCACCAGCACTGCAGACGACACGGCGCTTGTCATTTTCAAGGAAGACATCGTGGGGAAGATTAACTTGGAGCTAGACACGAGAACAATGTGCTCAGGGGTAGTTCTTTCTTCTTAGGTTGTTGTAGTTACTTTCGTGAAGAGTGGAGACGGTCTGGTAAAATGAGAAGGGTTGTTCTGTTTCTGAGTTGTTTCTGCTTGATCACCAGAAGTCGGAGATGCTGTGTCTGTGGAGTCGCCGAGTTTATATAGCGCTCTGGACGTGATGACGTCCGGCGCAATCTATGTAAAACTCGTGTCATTGTTTTTCCACCGGCGTAAAAAAATATCCTTGAACTGTATCCGCTGTCCATTCATAACAACTCATAGAATAGCAGGCTCTCAAAACCACAGTTGCATACCTTGTTCGACGGTGACCCGTCTGACGTCACTGCCGACTAACGGCATCACGTGACCGGGCACGGGCGGGACATCGCAGCAGGTAGCAAAGGTCACAAACTGTCATTTCCCTTGCGTCCACGACAGCTTTGGGGGATTCTGGTCTATCTTTGTCGTCCTCTGTAAGACACTCGGTTCTTGTTTTTTGCTGGAGTATAGAAGAGAAAGTTCCAGTTTTCCTTCGCTGTCTGTCCGTCTGTCTGTCTGTCTGTCTGTCTGTCTGTCTGTCGCTCTCTCTCTCTCTCTCTCTCTCTCTCTCTCTCTCTCTCTCTCTCTCTCTCTCTCTCTCTCTCTCTCTCTCTCCTTCTCCCCCCACCCCCCTCTCTCTGTTATTCAGTGCAAACTGCTGTCTGTGTACACCCTGGCCCAAGCTGTAACCAGTAAAGACCAATCTTGACAAACTTCTACATCTCGGAGAGCACACACACACACATGCCTAATCACCCGACTGACGTACTATTAGTTATCCACGAAGAGTAATTAGGATGTTGACCTGCTAAGAATAATATTCTAATCAGAGATAGAGTTATTTTCTTTTATCTCTTCGTTGTTTTCTGTGTTAGGTGGGGGGAGGGGGGGGGGGGGGGGCGGGGTTATGCTTTGTCTGTTTGCATTTTGTTTGTTTGTCTCGGGTTTGTTTTATTTTGCTTGTTTGTTTCGTTGTTGCTGGGGTTTTTTGTTTTTGTTTGAGACAACTTTCCCCTACATTCGAACCAGTGACCTACTTTGAATCAATCGATAATCACCAACAGGCACTTTGTCGGGTTTATAAAATGATGTCAGTTTGGTGACACACGTGGCATGGAATGGCCCTGTTAAAGACCCTTTCGTTATGTATTTAAAATGATATCATTTTGGTGAAACATGTGCCATGGAATTGCCTTATTGTGATTTCTTCAAAACTGATCAGGCAAGTCATTCGTTAGATAATTGTCTTACTTTCCTTAATGTTTGCATTATTCATTACGACAGCATGAGCTTAGACCTACTTTATATTCTCTTCCAGATAGGTTGTACCCAACGACCCCAAACGAGATTCTTCCTATTCTGTTGTTTAATTCTTTGAGAACGAAGCAAACGCATTTGTCCGACCAACAACAAAAGACATGTTGCTGGACATTTCCAAACATTATACACAAATTAGTCCCATGAATGTGCATGTATGTAACAGTATGTCTTTTTAAAGCTTCAGATATATAAAACTGAATTGAAAAGTCTGTAAGAATAGGAGAGTTCTTTTTCAAAGAAAATGTACTGTACTTCAAAACAGAGAGTCCTTAAGTGAAGAGTTAACAAAGTCTCACCTCTACCGGAGAATAGCCAGAATAAGTTGGAAAACAAAAGAGACCAAAAAAAAAAAAAAAGAGGTGTGTCAGATTCTACACACAAGACATATCCTGCTGAGGAGAATAACTTTTAGAAAAATACAAAACTATGGCCATTTAAGAAAGACACGAGACCATTGTGAAAGAAGTGCTTGGAGGCTTGGAGGAAAGGTGTGGGACAGAAGAGCTAGGGGAAGGCAAAGAATAACATGAATGAACAACATAAGAACATGGACTGGACTGGGTACAGCAGAATATTGTGCAACAGCAGCTCGCGACCGTGAAAGGTGGAGGGTCATTACACGTCAACCTTTGGGTCAGAGATGACACCTCCAGGCATCCAGGTAAAGTCTCACCAGTACCCAGGCCCTGACGACAAACGTTGTGTTGTTAGTCTAGCAATTTGCGTGTTCAAATTTGTGAGTCTGATCTGCGATTTTCGAGCTGCTACTGTGCCTTACTGTCTCATGAAAGACTTTGTGTGTGTGTATGTGTGTGTGTGTGTGTTGTGTGTGTGTGTGTGTGTGTGTGTGTGTGTGTGTGTGTGTGTGTGTAAAAGAGAGAGAGTAAGAGAGAGAGACAGAGAGAGAGAGAGAGAGAGAGAGAGAGAGGAGGAGGAGGAGGGGGTGGTATAGAGTTATTTCAGACTTAAAAGACTTACAAAGCATAAAAGCTTACAATACCGTTAAACAAGAAATTAACAACTTGGGCAAAGAGAATGAGGGAACACTCTTTGGATCGCACATATTAAAAGTGGCGTGCTCATATGACCGTATCCAGTTGCGAGCGCCGTAAAACACTTACAAAAACAACACAAAAAACAAACAACAAAACAAAAACAACCCCCCCCAAAAAAAAAACACACAAAAAAACAACAACTTTGAAAAGCGTACAATCCGCCAGTGTACTAATGAACACTGTTTTGTGACACCTCTACATTATTCCGGTACAAATTCCTATTACTGTTACCATTACTGATCCCAAAATCCACGAGGATCGTAGGGGTGCTGTATGACAGAGAGCCTCGTCAGATACCTACGCTTTTCTCGGTTTTTGCGAGTGCCTGAGTTTGGGCGAAGTTAGTGTGTGTGTGTGTGTGTGTCTGTCTGTCTGTCTCTGTGTGTGTGAGAGAGAGAGAGAGAGGGAGAGAGGGAGAGAGGGAGAGAGGGAGAGAGGGAGAGAGGGAGGGAGAGCGAGCGAGAGAGAGAGAGAGAGGGGAGAGAGGGAAAGAGAGAGAGACGGGGCGAAAGAGATAAAGGGAGAGAGAGAAGGAGAGAGAGAAATAAAGGAAGAGAGAGAGAGAGAGAGAGAGAGAGAGTGAGAGAGAGAGAGAGAGAGAGAGAAGGGGGGGGGGGGCGAGCGAGCGAACTAGCGAGAGAGCAAAGAGAGATAGTGAACAGCGCCCACATCCTGTACAAGTACGGTATACAATTTTCCTGCATAATTAAGATTACTATCAAGACATCAACACAACGAGCATCATCAAACCACAGATAATGCTGTGACGTTGTTGAATAACATGATGATAGCAATTGGGGAAAACCCACTGTCTTGTAGGGTCGTCCAGTGCAATGATAGCCTAATGTATGTCGAACAGCGTTGTTTACGAAGTAGGTCTCTGATGAGATCATGAATTATGTAAAGAGCAAGGACTGGCAGATGAACAAAACTGAACAAATTAATGACTGGCTTTAGCAGTTAGTTATGTAGAAATCGCAATAGAAAAAGGTGTTTGGCGATTGGACACTGTGCTTATTGAGACCAGGGGGAAGCAAAGACAGCACGACAAGATGTTAACTCACACTCACCCCCCCCCCTCCAGAGCAAACAAACAGATAAACAAACAATAAAAAACCACACAACTTAATCCAAACAAAAGAAAGACGATGAAAATTCCCCCAACTGCAGGACACATGAACAGCAGCACCAGCAGCAACAAAAGAAGTAACAGTAACAACGATAACATAACATTAACATCAACATAGCAAAATACGTTTAGTGATTAAAAGGGAAAAACAATTGTTCACTCGTACATCTTTCTTTGTCGGGCATTTTTTTTTCTTCTTCTGACAATGGCGTGCAAGGTCCAAAAGTCCTGAATGTACACACCTAGCTGCTGTGCTTGTAAAGGCGACAAGAAATCAACAAAGGTGTACGAAGAAGCGAAAAGGAAAGAAAAGTAGAGAAAGAGAAAGAGAATGATACACGCATCACACACACACACACACACACGCACACACACACACACACACACACGCACACACACACACACACACACACACACACACACACACACACACACACACACACACAGAGAGAGAGAGAGAGAGAGAGAGAGAGAGAGAGAGAGAGAGAGAGAGAGAGAGAGAGGAAGGCGGGGGGGGGGGGGGGGGGAGGGGGGTGAGAGCTATACAGAAGCCCGAAGAAAACTAGAACTCTCTTTTCTACGTAACAGCTAAAAAAAGAACAACGGTCTCTTGCCGAGGAAGATAAAAAATATCCACCAAACGAAGAGCAGACGAGAGGGATACTTTCTGACTTTTGACCTTTGCTACCTGTGGCGAAGCCCCGTGTCTGGTCACGCGACACCCTAAGTCGGTGGTGACGTCAGACAGGTCATCGCCCCGAAAGTACGCAGCTCTGGTTTTAAGAGACCCCGCTATTCCCAGTGCTGTTAAGAATGGACAGTGGATACAGTTCAATGATTTTTTTTACGCCGGTGGAAAAACAATGGCGCGAGTTTTACGTAAATTACGCCAAACGTCATCACGTTCAGAGCGCTATATAAACTCGGCGACTCCACAGACACAGCATCTCCGACTTCTGGTGATCAAGCAGAAACAACTCAGAAACAGAACAACCCTTCTCATTTTACCAGACCGTCTCCACTCTTCACGAAAGCAACTACAACAGCAACAGCCCAAGAAGAAAGAAGTTTATCTGAGCACATTGATATCTAGTGTCTAGCTCCAAGTCAATCGTCCCCACGATGTCTTCCTTGAAACTAACAAGCGCCGTGTCGTCTGCAGTACTGGTGCTACTCTCCACTCTTCTATCGTCTGCAGCAGCCCAAGGGGTCGTCCTCCGTCCGGGAAGATGTCCTGCTACGGGGACTCAGGCTGCTTTTGACCCCAGTCGGGTATGTGGCAACCAGCAACATAATAATATGTGGCATGTTTTTGTTCTGTGTGGAGCATGTGCAATTGTCTGTCTATGACGTTGTCGCATTTGTCTCTAGTTGCAGGGCGCTTAATGCAGTCTGCTCGTTTTGTCTCTTTTTGGTGGTACAACGCGTATATTGATAATAATAATAATAATATAATGCAAATCTGTTCTTAGAGAAAAGTAATCTTTCTGGAAGCTAAATAAGATAAGACTTAGGTTTCAATAACATCTCATCCAGTCTCTATTCTTTTCTTTTTCTTTCGTCTCTTTGTCTCTCGTCATCATCATCATCCTCGTCTTTTCATCATCAACAACACAACCATACTCGTTAACAAGACATTTAAAAATCAGCGACACCACATACAATAACAATTACAACTACAACATAATAGCACCAATGCCTTACAATAAGCGTAGCCTACTCTCAGCACAGTGAACATTACCTCACTCGTTGTATGTGTGGAAAGTACATCGCCCATCATCTTTCGTCTCTTTCCTACACCCACCCTCCAACACTCACCACCACCACCTTTTTGTCTCTGTTGCCTCTCGTACTTTACTTTTCATTAACTCCTCACCCCCCTCCTTTTCCCCCTCTTCCCCTCCAGTACCTGGGTACCTGGTACGAGTACGAGCGCTTCGACAATTGGTTCGAGGCGGGCATGGACTGTGTGAGAGCCGAGTACGGTCTGAACCCTGACCAGACCATCAGTGTTCTCAACGCCGGCACCAGGACCTTTAAGCTGTGAGTATAGTATATAGAATACATTATTGTAGATTAGGAAACAGATGGATTACTTCGGAGGTCAGCCAAATTTGACAATATAAGTGCCGACATACTGACAAATTGTAAAGAGCAAATTTTAATAAATAATGATATAGGCTCAGGTCGTCTTTATGTAGAAGCAACATGTCCTGTTTCCAGATAGCTGTTGTCTCGGTCATTAGTATACTGCTATAGTATTGTCAACTTCAATTCAAGTACATTTACTACATACGTAGAAACACCTGCACACACAATACTGCCATTTAGTGAGGTTAAGAAAGAACAAACTCACCAGTCCCCTCTGTCCCACCCCACCAGGTTCGGACGTACTATCTTCAGCCGGCCGGCCTCCATCAACGGTGACGCTACCACACCGGACCCTGCTTCCCCCGCCCAGCTCAAAGTGTCCTTCTCACAATGTAAGTTTTCTCCACCTTCCAGATGATGTTTTGGAAACTTGGAAAAGTTGATTAGCCAAAAAATTCAGCATCATATCAACATAATAATATTATTATTGTGGCTTATCAAAATGATTTAAGGAATATAAATAAACTCATAAGCCGGAGTCATTACATAATTATTTGGTACATGTAGGTGAGGAATTTCTGCAAAAATTATAACAACAGCATCCATAATGTTCTTTTCCTATTGTTTGTGTGCTTTGTTCGTGTCAATAGATATTTATTACGAGAGAGGACTTCATACGAAAGTAGACTTAAATCAGTTAGCATCATGCTGGACTTTGAAGTTGATGACTTTGGTTCAAATCTCTATTTGGGCCTTCTTGAACTTGGAAAGTTTGGAGAGTTGTCAAGGCCCTCCACACTTTTGGCTCTCTTCTGTAAGAAATATACATTTGATTCGGAGATCTTCCCTCTTTAATGACCGTGTGAAATGTATAGCAGCCCTAAGCTTGTACCATTATTACTATCATACCATAGTGTGTATAACCAAATTTCCCCTGCACTGTTCCAGTTGACGTTATTGGTGGTAATGAGCCTAACTACTACATCGTGGAGACGGACTACGACAACTACGCGGTTGTCTTCTCTTGTTTTAACCTGCCTGGACTGCCTGTGAATATCCGTAAGTAGACAACAGCTTGTTTGTTTAAGATTTTGATTTTATACTCCTTTCCAACCAGTATAGGTCTTTTAATTAAGATAATACCTGTTGTGGTATGGAGTAGGAAGCATGAAATCTTTTCACACTCAAAAGCATCTTGGCATGGGTTTAAATTGTTTACAACTCCGGGTCGTTCATCAAAACACGTTTACAAGTCTCTTGTGATCTGCATCCGTCTTGAAATAACAAGATTAACTCAGAGTCTCTGTGAAATCACACCATTAAACTACATGCAGTCTTGCAGTAATACTGTAAAGTACATGTTGTTACATTTTGCTTGGAGGAAAATTGACAAAACCGTGCATGTTTTACGCATAAACCATTACCAACTTCTTCATTTATTCCTTTTCTAAATTCCAGAGTTTGCGTGGATCCTGACAAGAGACAGAGGGGTAGCCCCTGCTAACCTGAACGCCATCAAAAGCAACCTCCAAGCTGCTGGCGTCAGAACGAAATACTTCAAATCTGTGAACCAAGCTGATTGCCCTGTAGTATAAATCTCATTTCTGTTCTTTTGTCTCAAACCGAATCCATTTGAGACCAATATTGTCGAACTATTATGTACTATGTATCCACTTTTTTACACTCTCCCCTTGGAAGCGGAGTACAAAATGTATTAACTGTAGGTTATTCATGTATACGCTTCTCATGTAGTTCTTATTTTTTTTCAACGTGTTGTTCTTGTCAGTTTGGGCACTGGCAATAATACAGTGGCAGCAATCAGGAATGATATGACTATAACATGTTCAGATTTTGGGGTGACTTTTCTTTCTTGTCAAGAGCTCTGTGATAAATATAATATAAAAATATATACCTGACAGAGTGAAGCAGACCAAAGAGTTTAGAAGAGAAAGAAGGATTTAAAGAGAGAGAGAGAGAGAGAGAGAGAGAGAGAGAGAGAGAGAGAGAGAGAGAGAGAGAGAGAGAGAGAGAGAGAGAGAGAGAACGTTTTTATGACTCGAACAGGCAGCATGATCTGTACTTCTACTTTTTATAACAAACGTAATAAACTTGCTTTACAAAAGTACTTTATGTCTCCATGTTTCATTTTTGCTTTCTGAGGACAAAACTCAAACCATTAAGTCAATTTTGACTTTGGAACATCTATACTTTCTTCAACAAAAATTAAACACTTACTGACAACTTAATGATATGACCTTATATATTTTCAAATTAAGAAATTAAAGGTGAACCTCGAGCTGAGTAAGTGTACAGCCAGACTATGATGCGGATGGCCCAGGTTCAGCTTCGATACTGCGCCCTCTGGGGTTACGGTTGATCAGGAATGTTCCTTATTCTACGGCCTCTTGTATCTGTTCTATAGAAGAAGACGTGAAATAGGAAGTCCCACCTCACTGATGGCAGTTTAGGGTTGAAAGTTGTTATACCCACACAATAATACAGTACACAAATACGTGGATAACCCATATTTGCGTTGACATAATTTATTTATTGATCGTTTATGAGTGCACCACAGCAACTGTTGTCTTTACTTTACTGCAGTCTCCAAATGTCCCACTTTGAGTACATGTGTACAATAATTACGTCGGAACATTGGAAGTAAAATGAAAGCAAGTTAGACTATCATGATCATACTCTGAGCTAAAGGACAGGCCAGTCTTTCGAATTTTGAGTGGTAGTCTTGGATCTTGTTCGTGTTGTTAGGGGCAACGACAGCAAACCCAAATGCATCAATTATTGTCTTATACTACACAACACAACTTCAACTCTACGTGTCTGGGCAAACGGCTTTGCGTTACATGGTATAATGTAAAAGCTTGTTTGTTTGAGTTTATCTGGGTACAGTGGAGCACGTCGAGACAGTATCGGTCACTTCCTCTCCCTAAAAAATAATGAAGATGTTTATTACGCCCCCATCAACATAATTTGGATCGTTTAGGAGGCTGGCTTCCACCCTGTCTGTCAAGATCAATCCAAGCTGAGAAAGACACACTATCCCAAATGAAAAAACCGAGACACTCAACAGAAATTCCCCCCCACTCGGGAATCGAGCTCAGGTCTCCTGTGCGCGACAGCAAAGCACCTACTAAGCGGTACACAATAGACGCCGATATTATTTCTTCTCTGCCTCTTTCACTCTGGTATTGCGTAGTCGATAAACCGCTTGGAAGTTAGAAGGGCTCTGCCGGTCTCTGTTCTGGGCGATTTCCTCTACCTTCAGCCAGCTGTGCGACATAACACTATTTAGATCTTCATCCAGATCTCGTTCCCCATAGTGAATCTATGCTTTCCTCCATTACACCCCCTCCCCCCCCCCAAAAAAAAAACAACAACAAAAAATCAACAAAAACAAAACAACAACTACAACAAATTAAATCAAAATATATTGTTTTAAATCTGGAGTTCCATCTCAGGTTTTGCCTTGTCACTTGGGGACTGGCTTCCTAAGACATAAGAGTGCGCCCAATCCGCTGCCGTCTTCTTATCTTGATCTCAAGCTACTGCGTTGGTGGTTGTCTGGTTCCCCTCTGTAATGCTAGTCATGATAGACTCCAAAAAACACTTCTCACGGTGTTCGGCAGGTGGATTTTCATGATCTTTTTTAGGCAACCTTAGATGAACGATTGTAGTTTGTTTACTATCTGCTTTGTTAGCACTGAAAATCTCAATTGTTCTGCTTGCCGTGATATTTCCTGATCTCCAAACGGATTTAACGGTCATCTGGTGCTTAGAAAAAGTAAGACAAACTGAAACAACAGAGGGACAGAAAAGAAGTTGGACTGACTAGTAGCACCCTTTAACCACTTGCAATAGAAAAACCAGAAAGCCGCAAACAACAAAAGAATAGAACAGAAGAAGCGTCCACTAAATAAGGAAGTTTAGATCTCTAACATTAAAATGGGCACTCTAGGCTGTATAATTCAAACTGCTTAACCCCTTCACCTCTAGGCTCGAGAGCTGAATTATGGAGCAGGTATTGGAGTAAAAGTGCATTCTTGCTTTTCACAAAACTCAGTTTATAGACATTATATTAATTGTAGGCTACTTTTTACTTTGATTTTATATGTTTGGTAACGTCGTTGTCCCCCCTCAATCGACAGCCCAATCACCATCGACACAAAATTGTTGTTTTTTTCATGTAAGCGAAAGTGAGCTGATCTCGCAGAGACGACCTCTATGTTAGGAAAACCCTACCCTGCCCATCACTCACTCTAACCATTATAAAAGAAAATTCCTCAGCCACTCGAGGGATGGGGGAATGATTGGGGGTGGAGGGAGAAGATGGATCAACGCTGGAGGGTGGGGGGAGGATGAGGGACGAGAATAGATGGATGACGAGAGACGAGAAAGGATGGGGGTATTGGTGGGGTTGGGAGGATGTATCTCCGCCCCACCCCCACCCCTTCTTTCCACATTCACACAACGGAAACCAAGCCATAAAGAAACATTTAGTTTTACTAAGTGTTTTACGGCACTTGCAACAAAATAAGGTCATATAAGGGCCGAAGATTAGAGGTGTTACAAGAGAGCAACAAACACAAAAAAGAAGGGGAGATAAAGACGATAGACGTTTGATACGAAGGAAGAAGCAAACCACACCAGAGCACCAGCCAACCACCCACTTATAAAGAAACATGTTCTTTTTCGACGACTTACACAGAGATTTATGAGACACAGGAATGCCCCTCTGTTCACAGTCCAATCAGTAGGGGTTAATGATATAAAACAGATATATTATAGTCAAAGACATTTGGTTCAGCATAGTGACTGAATATTGGTAATTTGTCACAAAAAGGTGACTGAAGGCAACAGTCAAGTGTACATCATATTGGAATTAGATTATTTAGATATCTATGTGCCAGAAATGTAGGGGTGTCAGGTGTAGTAGATAGGTATATTTTGGTTGTGTATATAGAGGTGTCAGGTGTAGTAGATAAGTACATTTTTGTTGTGTATATAGAGGTGTCAGGTGTAGTAGATAGGTACATTTTGGTTGTGTATATAGGGGTGTCAGGAGTACTGGGGAAATACATTTATTAATTTGTGACAATTTTTTTTTCTCTTGCTTTAAAAATTTATTTGTATATTTATTTATGGCTTGTTTGGGGTTTGTTTTTGCTGATAGCATTATGCATCAATTATTCTCCAGTAGCTAAACAGATTTGCTTTCAGAAATCCTGCCAAGTGTCCCTTTTTTATTTCTTGGACGTTTTTAAATTGTATACTCAATCAGGAGTAAATTCATGTATTGAACTCTTTGAGTATCAGGATCTATATAGATGATGTCTGATTTGCCCCTTTGTACAGACAATGTTATAAAAATCATAAGTACGATCAGCAAAAGTTGACGAGCTCATTAATATTTAGGATCATTCATTTATATAGACTTGAACAGTGGGTGGTTGGCGGGTCTTCTGGAGTGGTCAGCTCCTTCTTTTCTGTCAAACATCTATCATCCTATTCCTCCAATTGTTTTGTGTCTGTTACTCTCTTGTGACACCTTCGGCACTTATATGACCTGATACATAATGTTGTGAGTGCCGTATAGTTGTCATTAAAATATTCACTGTTACAGTTTCCTTTGTCCGTTTTCCTTGATAAAAAAAAAAAAAATTAAAGGAAAACAACATAAACATCATCATCATCATCATCATCATCATCATCAACAACAACAACAACAACAACATAAACATCATCATCATCATCATCATCATCATCATCATCATCATCATCACCATCATCATCATCATCATCAACAACAACAACAACACTTCTAATCACGCTTGTAAATCAGGGTTCGGGCCCGTTTACACCATTTTTCCTTTCGCTGTTTGTGCTACAATCCCCATGAAGGAAAGAAATTAGTTTTAGTAGAGGCTTTACGGCGCTCGCAACTGTATAAGGTCATATGAGCGCCAGAAGATTAGAGGTGTTACAAGAGAGTAACAAACATAAAAAAGAAGAAGGGGAGATAAGGATGATAGATGTTTGATAGGAAAGAAGAAGTAAACCACACTAGATCACCCGCCAACCACCCACAAGTAAAGAAAGAAAGACCAAAAAAAGTCAACACTGTAGCAAGGAAACGGAAAGTAAACACTGTATAGGTCATTAGGAGAACCCCAATTATTTATGGTTCAAATAACAAACTAATAAATTTGTTCAGTTGCATACGAATAGTAGGGCACTTGACACCACAGAGTCCTTACTGAATGGCATTTATTTGAAAACATCTTTCCATGTGGTAAATTTATAATGCTTATTGTGCTTTCTGTCGGCCTGTCAGTCCTGAAATAAAAACTTATGAACGCAGACTTTGATAGGACTCTGAAACTACTTTTAGCCGCTGGTTTATAAGTCGTGTCCATTCTGCATCTTTGTCGAAGTGTGGAGTGTGGCAATCGTTCAGACGAGGATGTAATTTTCAACAAGGGAGATTTCAGCATCATCATCAGTTGGAGGAACAGCAACTATAGAAGACTATGTAATGGCGAAAGGAAAAATAAATTATGGGAAAATATCGTACATCTTCTTGAGTGATTTATGTATGAAGATTAAAGTAAAATCAAATGTGAGGACCATAGAACGACAATGTTTTTATTCGTTTTGTTATATTTTAGTTTAACAGTATTGTAAGTCTTTCATGACCTGAAATAACTCTTTACCCCCCCCC